CAGATAAACATTTTTATCTTTGAATTCGAGAGATTACGATTTTGGAAGCAGGTATTGATTGGAGAGTTTCAAGGATGTTCTGTCCCAAGATTAGGATGATGAGGATATTGATGATGCCAACATCCCGAAACCGTGGCGACCGCATCACATCGCATCGCCGCCTCCTCTCCACCTTTAATGTACTCTCAAACTGTCAGTCATGCGTAACTCAGTTAAACATAATTCCATTAGACCAGCAAGCCATGTGTAGCTGGCCCTCCCCTTACTGAAAATGGAAGCGTAATTAGATTAGGTCTGGACTCTGCGCTGAAGACTAGTCAGACTAGCTTCCGCAGTACAGAAGGGTGTTTATCCACCAACTCTGTGGTTGGGGTCTCTTTAGGCCTGTTTTCATCAGCTCGAGATTGCCAAATAGCCGGCTATTTCTGATTTGGGAAATAATCCTGAAGATACAAATTGCGCCTTCATCAGCTCGAGACTCGACCTCGAAACTTGAAACTCGAGCTCGAGATATAATCTCAAGATATTTGCTCAGTGTTCGTGCATAGTGCGAGTCTTCGGGGCCGGCGATGACGCACCGGACAAATGGCGGGATATTTTGCAAACTAGCCCAAGATATCTTGGGATGATTATCTCGACCAAATATCCCGCTAATTACAACTAGGGGCTGATGAATGAAGACGCAAATTAACTGGATAATTTGCGATCAGGATAGTTCAAATAGCGGGATATTTGGCAATCTCAAGCTGATGATGACAGTCCTTTTTTATGCCAGGATTTTTGTCAAGGTCGTGCTGATGAAGGTTGCCTGATTTATGTGGACATAAAATTTAATTTTGATGCCCTTCCCTTACTTGTCAAAGGGTATTACTTGTCACTGCATTTCAGGTTTTTAGGTGTAGCGTCCTTTACTTTTCCCTATCCCCTGAAGATCCTCTCTCGTTTTTCCCTATGGCTTGTTTGATGGTGTATCTCTTTTGTGAGGGAAATATAATAATCTGCTTGTTGTGAGGTAGAAAGGCCTTAAGGTAAAGACCAGTATTGGAAACGCCCCAATGTCAAAAAATGAAATGGAAGCTCTCATTACCAATCATGTGAAAGAATATGTTTTGACTAATACATGATGATACAAAATGTGCCGGGAAACCGCCTACTAATTCATATAATTGGTAAATTTGTTTCTCTCATGGTCTGTGAGAGATATAGGGTAGTCCCATATACATCTTTCTGTGTATAGTGCTTGTAACTTTATGAAGAATGGGCCAAATTTCTTATCATTTTGATGATTCCAGAACCTTGCAGATGCTGGATGCTAGATGATCAACCTTTTCTGATCGATTCCACAACGTTTCTTTCACAATGCAATCGCATGACCATAACTGGTCTTTACCTTTAAATCTCAGTAGATTTGTAGGGATTAATGGCAAACACCCTTATTGCTCTCAGCAGGTAACAAAAACGCTTGCATCATTCATATTCCTGTAATAGTGTAATGGAATTGGAACTCACTGGAAGAAGAGTAACATTGCTCGTAATATGTGTGTTGCTCCTTTTTTGGGGGGGGGGGGGAAATCTCTCTCTCATATTGTGCCTTTGGAGCAAGAAGGGCATTCATGCAGATACTTAAACACAGAGTTAATGCCCTTTTGGTTATAAACAGCTTTGTGTGTACAGAATCACAAGGATAACAAAGCTAGTATTGAAAGGTGAAAGAAAAATGTGAAAAAGAGGGGAAATGGATTTGATCAAAAAATTGAGTACCCTCTCAATCTGAAACATGAGAGAAAAAAATGGAGCGTAAAAGAGGGGAATTGATTTGTTAACAATTTGAGTACCCTCTGAGGGGTCCTGAAAAAAATCTGCTTTGCATTGTGCAACCTTGGCAGAATAAAAAACTCAAATTTGATCAGGCATGAACAAAATGGTATTTGTGCTCGGGATGTAGCCAGCCTTTTCGCCACCAATGCTCCACCATTGCCCCTCCCCCTTTCGCCATCTAATAACATTGCTAATCGGATTAAATCCGCCTGTCGTGTTTGTTTAATTTGGGTTTTGCAGGTTTGCACCGAATGTATCATCGTCATTATTGTGATTGCTGGCGACAAAAGTATACAGTATGATGGTTTTATTGTATGTCTTTTTCAATTCTGGGTTTTTTCTTGGTTGACTTCTTGTAATCCGCATGCCTGCGATATGGTATGAGGACAAGGTAATAATATAGCAACACACTCGCACTCGGTGGCCTGCATTGGAGGCTAAAAGACAGAGTAAACATGTATGGTATGGATAGAAATTGTGTTTTCAGAATCTAGTGCATTTTATTGTGTGCTCTGAATTAATATATTCCTGCATCTTGAACATGTACTTGTAGATTTGCTTCTGACACAAACAATAAGCAGTTTGCTGAATTTGGTCTGTTTAAAAAAAAGATAAATCATATGATAACCAAGGGCTTAATTGATTTAATTCAGAGATTAAACATTGGTTAAATATTCATTATTTGTAACCTAAAGCAGGGCTTTACACATCATGCATAACATTAAAATAATGTACCCCTGGCATATTATACATGTAATGTATTGTAGTCTTCTTGCAGCTTGCGTACTGTCTGCTCGTAATATTAAAATGTACTAGTTATCGTATTTAAACGTATTAGTAATCACATTGAAACGTGTAAGTAATCATATTTAAATGTATAAGTAATCGTATGAAAACGTTTTAGTAATCGTATTAAAACGTATTATTAATCGTATTAAAACGTATTAGTAATCGTATTAGTAATCGTATTAGTAATCGTATTAAAACGTATTGGTGATCGTAGGAAGACATTCATATTGTGAACACACCCTTAGGCTTAGGCTGAGCATGCATGTTCTAAAAAACGCACTTGAAGAATGTTGTCTCTTTGTCTCAGTGCATTCCAAGGATATGTCCACACACATCTTGACTGGCATTTACTTTGATTGGCAGGGAGGAATAGAAGCGAGAAATACTTTTAGTTTTAAAGGTGCTCCTTAAAGGTAATATAAAGTTTTGGTATGCGGTCATGAATTTGGTTCAAAATGAACATAATGGAAGCATATGCGATCCTACAATATTCATTGATCGTTGTCGCGGTTGAAATCGAGTCTAAAGTTATGAAATTATAGATAATAAACTCTTTATGTTGTATAGCTCCCTCTCAAGGTCAAGATATTTATCAAGCTATAAAACAATGTTTATTGACTAAAATCAACCAATTAGCTATTCCCGTTTGGAAATTATATATCTCAACTACATATTCTGAGATTTTCATGGTCGCAGCTACCATTGCGCGGCCGTAGGCGCTATTTGAAATATATCAAAATTTACCGGGAGCACCGGTAAATTTTTATATTAAATTTTTCTCGAAAGCAGAAGTGTTTTAGGGGCTAAATTTTCTAGTGCTTATAATACATACACAGGGGCATCTCAAAATTGTAAAGAATCACCATCCACTCAATTTTCAAATTTCCCAAAACTTTGTATTACCTTTAATACCGGTTTCGCAAGGAGATCCAAACATATTATTTGCTATTTAGCTACATGTACAGTACATGTACCCTTGTTTGCATGGGGCGGTTGGGACCAGCATACATTATGTAGCTTCAAACTTTGAACTGAATTGTTTTAATCAACCCACTAACAATGATGTGGGTTCACATAAGTCCAAAAACAAGTGTTCAAAGTTTCAAACCACTATCCAAGAACAAGGTCCCTCTAAACTACATGTAACTACGGACTACCGAATCCATAACGTGTGATTATCACTGCACAGAAGGTACTTGACTCCCCTCCACTCCCCTCCTCCTCCTCCCCTCAGCTCCCCTCCCCTTAGCCCCTCCCCTCAGCCCCTCCCCTCAGCCCCTTCCCTCCCCTTAGCCTTAGGTATAGTTTTTTTTTTTTTTTTTTTATTGTACATGAGAATTGCATGGGATTATGAAAGGGGGGGGGGAGGTGGATATAAGATGGCTCCTTAGACTCAGCGAGACGGAAATCTCCCCTGGCCCTGCCCCTCCCGCGCCCCTCTGCCCTATGTACATACCGGTATACATTCCTGGGTGTCATAATGCCTACATGCCATGCCAAGCACCGACTATGATTGACAGGTTTGATTGACAGCTCTTCGGGGAGCAGACAAACGCAAACAACATGAGTCACATTAATGTCTGGGTTAGGTACCGTGCCATGCTCAAAACATTCAAACAGCTCTCTTTCCATTTCATATGACGTGTACCGATTACCTGAAGAAAAATCTGCGTACATGCAGGGTCCGTTTTGGGAACATGAAGTGGAGTGGGGGAGGGGGGGGGGGGTACAGCGCTTACGGGAAAGGAGTATGAAGAAAATAAGGAATAGTGAATCCTGCACACGGAACCAAAGTCCAACTTGGTTTCTGTGCAGGCCCTTTTTTTATGCGAGCATGTACGTTTGCGTCCAGTAGGCTACTCGTTAGTCGCTTGTATGTTAATTGAGAGTGTATTTAAACTTGCAAAATCTCATTGCAGAAGTGATATTTGAAACTCAAATTACGACATGGAGTTGAAAACAATAAAAGACTTTTAAAAATTGTTGGACGATTTGGTACACTTTAAAGGCCCACTGCACTACTAGTAGCTACTTGCGCCCTCTATATAACAAACAATGCCTAATCGGTGACCATTGGTCCCCCATGATCCTCTTTTTCTTATCTTAACTGAGAGCTGAGTTGATGAGATAACCACCTGTCCAGTGACCTTGCAGAGCGGTCTAATCCCTCCTGTTAACTATGGCAGATAAGCTTTAAGCTTCTGGAAACAAGTGGAGAGACCAATCAGATTGTCCACATTCTTGAAACTGTTGAATAATTATTTTTTATTCTCGCATATTTTGTGTTTCAGACTATTCATAGCTCCTCGGGATACAGCAAAATTGCCCTTCAACATGTAAATCTTAATGTTTTTCCTCAAATATACAACTTTCGTTTTCATTTTGTCGTGCAGGTACATGTACTGGACCGACTGGGGGGAGGTTCCAAAGATCGAGAGGGCGGGCATGGACGGTCTCGACAGAGAGGCGATCGTGACGGACGATATTTACTGGCCCAATGGGCTGACGATCGATTACGAAAGCAAACGTCTTTACTGGGTGGACGCCAAGGAAAGTTTTATCAAAAGCAGCGACATGAACGGTTTACATCAAAAGGTAAGAGTCTGATGTTCCTAAAGGCATCAAATTTAAATTTATGTAATTGGTACTGTATTGATATGAATTGATATGAATATACAGTCAAACCTACTGTAGTGACAACCTGTATAGAAAGACCACCTGTCTACAAAGACTACATTTCTTGTTTCCCTTGGAAATGGTTTCTTATTGAAACAAACTAAAAGAACCTGTACATAAAGACCACCTGCTTTTAATATATAAAGACAACTTTAAGTGTCTCCCTTGGGTGGTCTTTACAGACAGGTTTCACTGTATATGTATTTACTGGTCCAGTGGGCTAACTATTGATTTACCCAAGTCGATGAATCTACCGAGAGGACGCCAGGGAATCAAAAGCAGTGATATGAACGGTTTACATAAAACTGTAAGAGATTATTATGGTTATAAAGTAACTATTACGTTCTAGATGTTAGAATGGGGAAGAGATGATTATTTTATTTATTGGATCTGTATTGATGCTAGTATATTTACTGGCCCATTGGGCTAGCAATTGCTTACGCAAACCAAGGACTGTACCCGGAGGACACCAGGAAAAGTCTTTTTCAAAATCAGTGATAGGAACGTCCTCGATCCAAATGAAGATTGGTAATGAGGATTAATGCTTCGACAAAGGGCACGAGCGTATTGACTTGGTATCAAACCTTGGACCTCCCGGTTACGAGACTACTGCTCTACCCCTGAGCCATCGCACCTCCTTCTCATTCATTTCAATTCAATTCAATTTCGGCTAATTTACAATGTACAATCAGGGACATGATGTCCCTGGTACAATGCAGTAGTCCAATGACCAATAATGCAATGTTTACATAAAATGTGCATAAAAACAGGAATGATCATCATGTCTTTGGTTGCTTCTTGTTCTTTTCCTGCAGGTTGTTTTAGAAGGGAAGGTGGAGCTGCAGCACCCTTTCGCCCTGACCGTTCAGGATGAGTGGTTATACTGGACCGACTGGGAGACCCACTCGATACACGCTTGCAATAAAACCAACGGTCTGGAGCGATGGGTCATCCATAGGGATATTTCGCCCATGGACATCCATGTGCTGAGCGCGGAGAGGCAACCTACCGATTGTGAGTAGTCATGATTTATTTATTTATTTATTTATTGGTCTAGAAGAACTGACCAGAAGCACAGGCTGGAGGGGTCAGTTAACATCTAGAATAATACAATACTATTATAAAACAAGAATGTACAAAATAGACTAGCAAAACGAAAAATACTATGATGATGATGATGAGGGGGGTGATGAGGATGATGGTGAGGCTAGTGATCTTGATGATGATGAACTTCATTGAAGATGGTTGTAATCAGGATGATGATGATGGTGATGATGATGATGATGATGATGATGATGATGATGATGATGATGATGATGATGATGATGATGATGATGATGATGATGATGATGATGACGACGACGAGGATGATGTTGCTGATGCCAGTGATGATGATGATGGTGATAAGGATTATGATGATTGATGATGATGATAGTGACAATGAGGATGACAATTGACGATGCTGGTGATAAAATGATGAGCGCTGAGTTATCGACAGGAGACGGTGGTATCTTGCCCTGAAAATTCACATACTGGTACTCAGTATGAGTAATAGTAATGATGGTGATTTTGATGATACTGATGATAATGTTGAATTGTTGATGATGATTATGATTAACCCAAGTCCGACTTGGGTTCCATGCACGCCCTGTTCTTTGCGAATGGGTACACGTTAGTTTACTAATCAAGATGTTTTACAGTTTTCTGAGAATATATTTAAATTGCAATATCTCTTTGCAGCAGTATTATTTAAATCTTATATTTTGAATACAGTATATAGCGACATGGAACCTCTTTACATCAAGAACAAAACGTGTTTTGGTGATTAGTACCTTTTAACGTCTTCTTTATTTTTGTTTAAATTCTGATTCAGTTCCCAACCCATGTGAGGAGGATAACGGGGGTTGTTCGCACCTGTGCCTGCTGTCTCCGTCTGAAAGGGGGTATTCCTGCGTCTGTCCTACCGGTGTCAAACTCTTGGAGGATGGCTTCAACTGCGCAAATGGTAAGACACCTAACAGAAATATCTTATAAATATTTCTGTGTTGAGGTTTTAGGTGAGGTGGGGTGATGTTTGGAGGGGCTATAGGCCTGCCCTCATCAGCTCGAGATTGCCAAATATCCCACTATTTGAACTATCCTGATTGCAAATTATCCAGTTAATTTGCATCTTCATCAGCTCTAAGTTTCAATTAGCGGGATATTTAGTCGAGATGATCATCCCAAGATATCTTGGGCTTGTTTGCAAAATATCCTGTTATTTGTCCGGTGCATCTTGCCAGCCCGAAGACTTGCACTATGCGCGGACGCGAGCTATCTCGAGCTCGAGGTCAAGTCTCACCTGATGAAGACTTGATTTGTAACTTCGGGATTATTTCCCAAATCGGAAATAGCGGGCTATTTGTCAATCTCGAGCTGATGAAGACAGGTCTTATGATGTCCCATCTAGAGCTTTTTTGCTCTTCTAGGATGGTATTGAATCTGGACATTGTTTTTTGAAACTGTCATGAGTACAAGTTCACCAACATTCCATTGAAACGCTTGGTGATTACGATACATGTGTTTCAATAGGTTGTCGGTTAATTTGTACTTATGATGATGTCTTGAAATCCTGCGCTGTTGATGATCATGATAATGATGTTGATGATAGAATTGATTATTATTATTGTTGTTATTATTATTTAATTTGATGATGATCATTGAGTACAATACTGTGAGTGACTTAAATGATGACTGTATGTTATGAGTCTGCACCCGGTTTGAAACTTTGGAATCACTATGGATTGCCTAAATCATTTTACAACCCAAACTCTACACCTGTGTTATGACCTCAATTTTTTTACTGCTCACATATTATTATTACACCCAGCACCCCCTAAACAAGGGAGCCATGTGATTTGTCATTGTCAGCAGCCACAGGTCAAAGGTCACGGCACCAGTAGCTGAGTGATGACCTAAACCCCAGTGTGCAGACAGGAGGCCCAATGTGGATTTAACCCTTGACCTCTGCTCTCAACCATAACCTCTCTCTGGAGCCCACTCTCCCCTGCTAGTCTAAGTTTCTCAGACCCGATTGTGGCCTAGTCTCCAAACAGACTCTAACTTAACACTTTACCAGAATTAATAAAGCCTTGAGCAGAGCCTAGATCTGTTAGTTTTCGGTCGCGTCAAAAACAGAACCTCCTGTACTCTGCAGTCTCATAGTGCAGACACTGTTACGCACAACAACTGACAACGGTCGTGTTAGTCTGCAAACACAAGCTCTAATTTGACGCTTTACCACAATTTCTAAATCCTTGAGCAGAGCCTAGATCTGTCAGTTTGTGGTTGTGTAGAATAACAGAACTCATTGTAGTCTCATTCTTGCAGACACTGATACGCACATCGACTGACAAGGGTATGTGCCTGCAAACTGATTGTGACCCTGTGGACAGGAGTCATTCAGTGAATTAAGTATTTGTCTTTTTGCTGCCATTATGCAACATTTATGCCTTTTAAACTTCAAATTTGTAGATTGGTGCTATTTTCAGTACTACTGTGGCCCAACACTGTTTCTGTTCAAAAAGATATTTCTCTTTTTACTGTGAACTTATTACCTGAATAAGTTTCAAAGGGCTTTGCAAGCAGACTACCACAATGCCAGCTTTGGGGGAAGTCATGTAGACTACATGTACATACCATTCCTCAATATCATTTCCCCCCATTTTTTCATAATTATTATTATTACCTCCACATAAATTAGAACACACATCTGTATGGTAACTTTGAATGAAAACTTTCTTCTTTTTTTGGGGGGGGGGGGGGGGATTAGTGCCCAGTGTATGTACCTGGTTAGCTCATTTTATCTCCATTTTGCAGAAAATAAGTATATATTTATTTAAATTTATTTAAATTAACAAAATTACCCCTGCTTTTCAATCAAAACAAGGAATTTGTAAAACCTTGATAATGATAATTATAGCAATTAGCAAATGCGTTTAGGAGAAAAACAAATTAATTGTATCTTTTACACAACAATCGGGAGAGTTATCTGCGAACTATGTCACTATCCATCGCCCAATTTTAGAATTGAGATTCGCATAGATTTATTATAGTAATCTAATATTTCAAACACTCATAATTCAAATTTTTCGCCATTCTGTTTCACTTTTTCTTTTCCACTTTCATGCAAATGAACTTATTACTACGATTGGATAGCACTTTAATTTGGGAGTAATGCCAGTTGCATGCAATTTTCAATTAATATTTAGCTCCTCACAAAGTACATCACCTTATTTGAAATGTGATTGCTTCGAAATGTTTACTGGTAAATCGATCATGGTTGTAAAATGTAGCATTGAATGGAACATTGGGACGTAAAGTGAATCGTCTTATCTTTAATGGTGCGAACTGTGCTTTGGGGCAAGCGTAATATTGATGGATAGCGTCATAAATCAAGTAGAGATGTAAATGAAAAGACATTTGTATCCATTAAGCTTTGTATAGAGACATTGTGTCTTAATGTGCAGGTGTGCGTCTCATAGAGGTTTATTCGTTGTTCATGTATGATATTCTTTCTCCTTCCCTCTCTTGCTCTCTCTTTCTCTCTCTCTCTCTCTCTTCTTCTTTCTTTCTTTCCCTCTCTCTCTTTCTTCTCTTCTCTTTCCTTTCTCCCTCCCTTTCTCCTCTCCCTCTCTCCTCTCCCTCCCTTTCTCCTCTCCCTCCCTTTCTCCTCTCCCTCCCTTTCTCCTCTCCCTCTCTTTCTCCTCTCCCTCCCTTTCTCCTCTCCCTCTCTTTCTCCTCTCCCTCCCTTTCTCCTCTCCCTCCCTTTCTCCTCTCCCTCTCTTTCTCCTCTCCCTCCCTTTCTCCTCTCCCTCTCTCCTCTCCCTCCCTTTCTCCTCTCCCTCCCTTTCTCCTCTCCCTCCCTTTCTCCTCTCCCTCTCTTTCTCCTCTCCCTCTCTTTCTCCTCTCCCTCCCTTTCTCCTCTCCCTCCCTTTCTCCTCTCCCTCTCTTTCTCCTCTCCCTCCCTTTCTCCTCTCCCTCTCTTTCTCCTCTCCCTCCCTTTCTCCTCTCCCTCCCTTTCTCCTCTCCCTTTCTCCTCTCCCTCCCTTTCTCCTCTCCCTCCCTTTCTCCTCTCCCTCCCTTTCTCCTCTCCCTCCCTTTCTCCTCTCCCTTTCTCCTCTCCCTCCCTTTCTCCTCTCCCTCCCTTTCTCCTCTCCCTCCCTTTCTCCTCTCCCTCCCTTTCTCCTCTCTCTCTCTTTCTCCTCTCCCTCCCTTTCTCCTCTCCCTCCCTTTCTCCTCTCCCTCTCTTTCTCCTCTCCCTCTCTTTCTCCTCTCCCTCTCTTTCTCCTCTCCCTCTCTTTCTCCTCTCCCTCTCTTTCTCCTCTCCCTTTCTCCTCTCCCTCTCTTTCTCCTCTCCCTCTCTTTCTCCTCTCCCTCTCTTTCTCCTCTCCCTCCCTTTCTCCTCTCCCTCTCTTTCTCCTCTCCCTCCCTTTCTCCTCTCCCTCCCTTTCTCCTCTCCCTCTCTTTCTCCTCTCCCTCTCTTTCTCCTCTCCCTCCCTTTCTCCTCTCCCTCTCTTTCTCCTCTCCCTCTCTATCTCTCACCACCCCATCTTTATCTCTCCTCTCTCTTTCTATCCTCCTTCTTGCTACACTTTCTCTGTAAGAGGAAGAAAATGGAAAGAGAAAGAGAGGGAGGGGGAGAGAGGGGGAAGAGACAGAGAGAGTGAATTGACAATAGAGAGAGAGAAAGGGGGATGCGAGAGACAGAGGGAGAGAGAGTAAGTTCGACAAGAAAGAGAGAGAGAGGTAGAGACCGAGAGAGAGAGAGAGAGAGAGAGAGAGAGAGACAGTAGTGTATGATGAATAACATAACAGAGCCAAGTTCTTTAAATCGTTACGATAGGGTGATTTCAGTAAAAGAAATCTCTGGCTTTGTCTGTCAAGTTAACAACCATCCATCATTTTTTAGACAGTAGAGACAATGCCTTCGAAAAAATAAAGAAGAACAAAAAAGCCGGCTCCATTCTGCTTTCCTCTGGTTGAATAAACCAAGGGCATTGTCAGAATTAGACAAATATTTTGCTGACAGGTTTATCCTCTTTACAATTTACAAAGAACGGTTTCAGTGATGATGTTTACGAAAAACCAATCAATGCCCATTTATTACTTCATAATCACAAATAGTGTTTTCAAATCATTTGACATTACTTTTGAAGGCAGTTGCTAAGTTGATCAGGTAAGATACTTACAGGGTCCTGCTTCATAAATCCTGTTTAATCAATAACAACTGCCACAATCTTATATGACAAACCTGCTTAGGCCTATATAGCCAATCAAAAGTGAAGGTTTCACTAGTTTCAACAATTCACAAAATACACAAAAATATAACTCTTCTGAAAATATCGGCCTATACAGTAGCTACATGTATACTGTAGATATACCCATAGCGGTTTAAGACCTATGGATATTTGTATTCTCACTTGTGATATAATGCTAATTATGAATGTCTGATGGCTAGTCCTGGCTTTTTTTGCTATGATAGATCAATTTGTTTTCATCCTTAGACGAAACACACCCACTAGTATGTATTTCTTGATCTTGCACCCCAAATTAGCACCTTGATAAATGCTACCCCAATTTTTCTTTCCTTTTTTCCTCTAAAAACCCCTCCAAAATAACCACCATCACCTCTCCAATGGGTTGAGCTCTTTCTCACAGTGTACTCTGGCACCCTGACCTTTGACCTGGGTGCTTTTGTCCCCTCTTTATAGGCATTGTCATCCCTGGCTCTATTGTGGGTATTGTCAGAAACAGTTTGATTGATGGCACCCGAGCCTCTGTCTACTACCATTCATCAGCCAGGGCATCAGCCTGTGAAAACGCACACAGTGGGGCTGTGTGTGGGGGTTCGCTGCTCTGCATAGGGCTACTGTGCGTGTGTGCAGGGGTGGATGATAACAATAGACGGAATTGCGTGTTGTGTGTATGTTTGTGTGTTGTGTACACATGGGGTGCATGTTTTCTGTACGACTCCCATTGCCTATGTCAAGAAAGCATATTTTGAAGAAATTATGTGATCGGATGTAGAATGAACTACATTTTTATTTCAAACCATGTTTGACAACCAGTTTGCATGTGCACCAAACGCTAATACAGCATTGATGTATCTCAAGTTATGTCACTCAAGAGTAAAAATAGAAGGCAAAATGTAATGAAAGATTTAGATCTTTCGCACCATTTGTAATCATTTATACAATTTTTCTTTATAGCATATTGCAGACAACAGGATATTCCAATTGAAAAATCAAGCTTTAAGTGCCTTTCCCATGAAATATCAAACATTGCAATCAATTCAGAATTTTGTAAAGATACACATTTTAAGAAATATCAAAGTAGATCTATGCCCGCTTCACCATTTTGTCAAAATGAATATTGTACATACATATTGTTTGAACTTTGACTTCCAAGAATATTAGTACTTAATTGTCTAACCTCAGTCTGCATTCACTGCAGATAAATTCCTAAAACAGGTTTAATTAGAAAATGATTTAGGCTTACAGGGTCAAATAGCATTTGTATACTTCCATGGTCCTACATGCAAAATAATATCTGTGAATGATGTTTATGTTTTTATTTTTTGTCTTTTGAATAATTTTGTTGTTTATTAGTATCTCTAGAAAACTGTCATGAAAATGATGAAATGAATATATCTATTTGCAAAAATTAAAGAGAGTTGCACTTACATATATGGGTCTTAGATTTGATTACAAACACAACATTGGAATGAATGCATGGGACTGAGATATTACTTGCAAACATGATATCCAGTTGCATATGTGGGACTGAACTTGAGTATAACAATGCCTATCTGTTGTTTTTTTTGTGTACAGGTGCTCAGGAAATGTTGCTTCTGGCTCGTCGTAAAGATATCAGGAGGATATCCCTCGACACGCCCGACTACACCGACATCATCCTCCCCCTCGAGGACATCGAACACGCCATCGCCATCGACTACGATCCCGTTGACGGGTATATCTACTGGACAGATGATGCAATCAGAGCAATTAGGAGATCCAAGCTTGATGGCTCAGGTAAGTGCTATTGGAGCCCATTTGTAATCTCTTTTTCCTCTTTTTTTATTTGAATCATATACCGGTAGTTCTTTCATCTTGTTTTAATATCTATCTAAGTATCTTTTCCCGGTTTGGAGGTGAATTGCTACACTCTATCTCCTGCCATTCTGGTGCACTCTTGCAGTTTTAGTCCACTCCAGTTCTTGACATTCTCTTCCTAGTTGATTCTGGGCACCCTTTTCAGTCTAGTTCCCTCCTTTCTTCCCCCAACACATCCTTTAAAAGGCTTCGGTGCCTTGTTTTTAATATATTTGTATCAAAATGATATTGATCCTATATATATATATAGCGAGCTTATCTAGTAAGGAAAAAAAGCCTATAATATGTTTCCAATGATCTATTGCTAAGATTGTTTCAACAACAAACAATTTGATGAACATTTTTATTGCAATGTTATCACATATCACAAAGGTAAATATGAATGAAAGCTGAATAAAGTACAAACAACCAGTCTCGGTAGAAGTGTAGTCAGTTTGTAAAGTTTAATGATCTTCGAAACCTACAGTGGCTTTTACCTATCAACTGAGAACAGTATCTTTCACTTAAAATCCCTTCAACATTTTGCCATCACTCCTATCTTACAGAGAGCGAGTACGTGATCACCAACGACATCCTGCACCCTGATGGTATCGCTGTGGACTGGATCGCCAGGAATCTCTACTGGACGGACACCGGGAACGATCGTATCGAGGTGGCGCGGCTCAACGGGACCTCCCGAAAGATGCTACACGCCGAGTACATGGACGAACCACGAGCAATCACAGTAGATCCAATAAATGGGTAAGTCACTTTTCAGATTTTTTTTTCTCCCAATCTCCAGTATTTTAAACATGAATTAAAGCCCCACTGCGCTATTTATAGCTACTTGCGCCCTCTATATAGCAGTTAATGCCTAGTCGGTGACTGTTAGTCCTCCATGATCCCCCTTTCTTATGTTAATTGAGAGCTGATTTGATAAGATAACCACCTGTCAGTGACCATGCAGGGAGGTCTTATCCCTCCTGGACAAACTAGTGCAGAGGGGTTTTAATACTTCTTGTTGAAGTAGGGAGGTTGTCTAGCATTACCAAGTTTCTATACTTTACTACTGCTAAGACCAGACACTTTTGCGTGCATGAAATGTTTGCAAACTTTGAAAAGTTAAAGATGTTCATGCGTGGGTATATAATTTAATTCATTGAATCATCTGTTACGTGCCAATATGTATGAATATAGCATGATATTCATGAATACTGTAGCAGCGTTGTATGCATGCGCAATTGCCCTTGGCAACCGTGTCTTATGTGAATAATGGAGTTCAGAGATTGAGAGTTGGCACAATCCACAATGGAGTGGATCTCTAGTCTTTTGTGTGATATTTCACCATTTAAATAGGACCGTTCGATTAGAACTGACAGCTACTGAAGCATGGTGGCAGCAGTGGGATATCCAAAAAATAATTCCCCCAAATTAATTCTCAAATACAAATTTCCCTTCAACAGCTACATGTACTGGACGGATTGGGGCATCGTGTCTAAGATTGAGCGTGCAAACCTTGACGGATCCAACCGCACTGTCCTCGTCAATACCTCCCTCTCTTGGCCGAACGGGATCGCTGTGGATTTCACGGATCAGAAGATATACTGGGGAGATGGGATGAAAGATAGAATCGAGATGATAAACGCGGATGGAACGAACCGAAGGGTGCTGGTCTCGGAGGATATCCCGCATATATTCGGCTTCAGTTTACTTGGTATGTTATCTGTTTACCATTATTTCCCTTGCTTTCATTTTTTTTATTCCTCCCTTTCTCTTCATTCTTTGTTTGGTTTAAAGTTCTGTATTTTGATCTTTCCTCTTTACTTCTTTTCCATACTCTTCTTCTTCCTTTCATCGTGTTTTCTTTTCCTTTCCTTCTAAAAGATTTTCTTTCCTACTCTTTTTTGTTGTTCTTTCATATTTCCCTGTCCATTTTTCCTTTGCCTTCCTCCTTTCTTATCTTTCTCTCTCTCAATTTGACCTCTTCTATTTCATGCACCGATTCTACCTCCTCTTTTGCATCTGGGCAAATTTTCATTACACTTTTCCTAATCTCCTATTTTCTCTTGTCTATCCTCTATTGAGACCCCATTTTGTTTTCCCTATGCTCTTCCATCATTTCACTCTGATTTCCATCTCTCTATTCATTCACAGGCGAATATATCTACTGGACGGACTGGCAGAAGAGAACCATCGAGAGAGTCAATAAAGCGGACGGCTCGGGAAGGGAAATCATCATCGAATCCTTGCCAGAACTCATGGGGCTTAAAGCAATCAGCATGGAAAAACAATTAGGTAAGATTTCTATCTTTCGTGACAATCATTCCACATTTTGTGGTTTGGCTCAATAACTGTTGATTCTGCAAATATTGTAACCGTTTTGGTTTCTTAAGTATATAATGTTTCATGCTCGGAAATTTTAAAACAAAAATAAGTTCAAAAATCTCTAAATTGGCAACACGTGAGATTCAAAATCGTTATTTAGCTTTAAAACTTTACGGCATAACTCTCATCCATGTATATTATTTTCAGAGACATTACAATTTATTTTAACAATATAGCAATGAAAGAAAAATATGATTGTTGCCAATTTGAAGAACATAATTTGATCCATTTAGCCTGAAAGTCACATGCATTACACACAGAAATGGGTATATGGGACTACAAACACATTTGGCATGAAGGTTAAATCCAGTTATATATACATTATATATATTTTATATAGTTGGTTCAAACATCTCAGCTATTTCTCTTCATTAATGCAAATATAGGGGCATTTGACAAGCAATCTTTTTCAAGGGACATATCTACATTGTAGGTCCACTGTTATATTCTTCCAAACTGTCATACATATTATAAAGCATAAGAAAGCTCACATATTGTCTTTCATCTTTACCACAACTCAAGCCCTATCTGAGAGAATGTTATTCAACATTTTTACACCTCTTTATCTGGCACACAGGCACAAACTCTTGCGGGAACAATAACGGAGGCTGCAGCCATTTATGCCTCTACCGCCCTCATGGTCAGATCTGTGCCTGTCCCATGGGTCACGAGCTTCTTGCCGACGGGAAGACCTGCATCGTCCCCGAAGCGTTCCTTCTCTTTCTTCGGACCGAGGACATCCGGCGCATCTCCCTGGAGACAACCTACAAGGACGTGGAGATCCCGCTGAGTGGGATCGAGGAGGCAACTGCGCTGGACTTTGATATCCTGGATAATAGAATATACTGGACTGACTCAAAAGCGAAGGTATGGGACTACAGGTGTCTTTTTATTGTTTTGTTGTTGCTTGTACATGTATTTATGGCTCATAATATGAACTAGAGGTTTATAAATCTTCACAAGTGTGTAAAAGAAAAAATCAATTTGACAAAGATTGTATATGTCATTTAAGTACAGTATGGCTGATTTTATCACTGTACAGTTTGTAATTTTTAAAGAATGCATTTACCTGAAATTTCTACCGTGGCCCCAAAGTGTGATAATGCTGATTCAGATAATCAGTCAAGAGACCAATTACTGTATCGACGGGGAAAAGTGATGGACCCTTGCTTAAATACCAATTTCTTATTCAAGATTACTTGAAATATAGTTTTGTTTGCCATACTGGTAATGTAAAACCTTTTGCCCCAGTTCAGGAAGGAGATACATCTGTTTAAACCTCCAAAGGCATCATGCATAAATGGCCTATTGTCCAATGATTTGGTAATCTACGCTTATTTCTGTAGTCATGACGGAGGTGGAGACAACGGTCAAATTCAAAGCTTGTTCGTTCATTCGGGATTCAGTTGATGTAGTTTATGGAATTTTAATTTATTTGCATAAAAGTGTGTTAGAAGCTTTAAAATTCTGTTCATCTTCAACTATTTTTCTTATCTCCCTTTTTTAAACAGAAAGTGACACGTGCCTTCATGAACGGCACGGACCTTCAAGACGTGATAGAGTTTGGTCTGCAGCAGCCGGAGGGGCTGGCAGTGGACTGGCTCGCCCACAACATCTACTTCGCGGACACGGGCAAGAGACGCATCGAGGTTGCTAGGCTGGACGGGAACTCTCGCAGGGTCATCATTTGGAAGGACATCGTCATGCCACGGTCACTGGCGCTTGACCCCATGGAGGGGTAAGTGAAGCATTCTGTCCTTTCTTTTTAGTTTAAATCCCCACTGCACTACTTTCGCCCTCTTTATAGCAAACAACGCTTAATCAGTGTTAATTGGTCCACCATTGTCCCCTTTTTCTTATGTTAATTGAGAACTGATTTGATGAGAAAACCACTTATCAGTGACCATGCAGGGAGGTCTAATCCCTCCTGGCAAAACTAGCGCAAAGGGGCTTTAACCATAACCATTAAAAATTAATCTTGAATCTTGAATCAAAAAATGTAATGTCAAAGTAAAATGTCCAGTTTTATTCGGTGCATTTGGATTCGGTTCAGATCATCTTAAATGCAATCTTATGCCTTATTTCATTTCATTTCATTTCATTTTATTTCATTTGTCATATAAAAACATACATGATTATAACATTGATATTTACAGATAAGTAAAGAACATATAAATAACATAATGAAAGATAAACATAAAATACAAAGTGTAACATACTAACCCTCCATTATCTCTGTATTTCCATCAGGTACATGTACTGGTGTGAGTGGGATGGCGAGTCTCACATTGAGCGTGCCTACATGGATGGATCTAACAGAGAGATACTCTACCAGGGTGGCAGGGCCAGCGGTCTCACTATTGACTACGAGGACAGGAGACTCTACTGGGCATCCTACGATACCAACGCAGTCGAATCCACCAACATGATCGGTAAGTAGTTTTTAATTTCATACAAATTCATGTATGTTAATTGTACGCATGAGCCGAAGAGTCGCTTGTGAAGGGGTGATTTTGATTAAATCCTATGACTGTGTTTGTCACAGGTATTTCATTATTTTGTTTTGTATTAACCCTATTTAGCCCGGGCTATTTTGAAACTGCATAGCCTGGGGGGGGGGGCTTCTCAGGCCCCCCCCTATGATCTCGGCCGTGAAACGCCCGATCGCCGCAAAAATTTGCGTACATGTCAAGTGAAGTGTATAGAATACTATGGTAATTTCAATTTTTTGAAAAATTCACTCATTTGCATATTTATGGTAATTTATGCAAATAAGGTCATAAAATTCACATTTTTGCCCATAAATCAGACATTATTCATATTTAAGCATTCTTTCTCACTGCATATATTTGTTAGACCATTTGGAATAATAATACAACACAAACAATTGAAAAACCAGGGTTATTCCTTATGTTATCTATTGTTTTGATAATTTCTTATGTATTTCTTTGTTTTTTTTACTTATGCATTTTATTGTTTTTGTTGTTTTATTTCATTTCCACCTATAATTCAACTATTTTGACCCCAAAATAAACACCTTAAACTATCAACAAGACCAAATAACCAATGTTTTATCTCTTTATTTGAAAAATGAGATTTCCATATGTTTTGTACACAAATCACAAAAATGAGCAATTTTCGGGCTGACATGCGAAGACAAAAGGACACGTGACTTTGTAATGGTAGGTCCGATTTTCGAAAAATTTCTTTCAAAAGATGCGCAAGACTCGAAAGAAAAAAGTCACAAAATTTCAGTGCAAAATTTTCTTGCGTTAAAAAATTATCGCGAAAAATGTCGAGGGGGGGCTTCTCAAGCCCCCCCCCCGGGCTAAATAGGGTTAATACTGTTGCTACTGGTACTGGTCCATGACAATGTCATGATGAACTAGAAACAGATATCCAAGCTCTCAAGATTCATTCTGACTTATTAATACAAATATGTTTAAATTATTGAAATTTCTCCCAGGAAGCATTACATTGATTGATTTGATTTGATTTAACTTGTTCTATTCAACAATTTAATCTTAATCCCCAGGCGAGGATCATCGCCACCTTGTCACGGACGAGCTACCCCACCCCTTTGGAGTAACGCAGTTCCGGGACTTTGTCTACTGGTCCGACTGGGAGTCCCAGACCATCGAGAGGTGTAACAAGACCAGCGGGGCCAACAGGACCAGGATCCAGGGGGGCTTGGACTATGTCATGGACATTTTGGTCTTTCACTCTTCAAGACAGGCTGGTGAGTTTTTATAATCGTCAGATTAGTTATGCCGTGTAACCAGTGTAAGAGTTCAAATTTTTCTTATTTCAGTTAATAAATTTCTTGCCTTCTTCCTATTCCACCATCACATACTCATTTATATATTTGCATTCTTCATTTTATTTTTTCCATCCTTCTTCGTGTGAGCTTTTCATTTTACTTTAGTTTAGGAGAGGATTGGATTGATTTGATGCAGCTTGTTGTAGCGATTGATTTTGGTCACCTTACTGTGTATCGCTTAAATAAACATAGATAGATAGATAGATTTAAAGATTGAGAAGAGAGAAAAAGGTCGGAAGGAGACTAGATTGAAGAGCAAAATAGTAAGGAGGGGAAAGAGGGGGAGAGAGACAGAGAGGGAGGGGGAGAGAGATAGAGAGAGAGAGAGAGAGAGAGAGAGAGAAAGAAATGTTATAATTGGTGGCAGCGGTGGGATTTGAAACTATGCCATCGAAATGACTGGTGTCTAAAACCAGTTACATTATGTAACGTTACACCAGTATAAAGACCATTGGGAGGAAAGAGATACAGTAAAATTGATGTTTATATCAGTAGAGGTGTCGTGGTATAGTGGATGCGTCACTGTACTCTTGATCACATGGTTCTCAGTTTGAATCCTGCCACAGCACTTATGTCCCTTTCCCAAGACATTAATCTCCATTTGCCACTCTCCACCCAGGTTTTAAATGGCTACCTGCTAAGATGTGAGCGCCAATGCGGTTGGATAGGCATGTGTGCCCTTGTAAAATGGCGCTCGGCCAGAATACTCCCCAGGGAGCGAAGCATGTGCACCACCATGTGCGGATGGGCAATTGAATCTAATGACTGGAGTAACAATGATTACATCGTAAAGCTCCTAGAAACGTAGTTATGCCCTTAAAAACGTAGTAAAGCACTTAGAAACATAGTATTAAGCGCTATACAAATGATGATACTCCTTGTATGTTGTAGGATTCAGTGCAGTTACTACAAGCACTTTGATCAGTTTTGCCATTTTAATTATTATTCATCATTATGCATATTTATCTTTACACATTCAACTATCAACCATTTTTCTCGAAACAAACGTTCAATTCCTTTCATCACATAATTAACCTTCTGGTGTTCACTTTTTTGCTACTCTATCGCAGGCTGGAACCCGTGTTCTGACGAGAACGGAGGTTGTGAGCAACTGTGTCTCTCTCATCCCAACGCGTCGAGCGATGAGTGGGACTACGTGTGTGGATGCAGTACTCACTACACTCTCAACTCAGACAACAGGACATGTTCACGTAAGCCAATCTTTATTTCTGAACTGCACCATGACAATTAGTTACGACTCTATAGAGTATTTTTCCGTCTTGTTAGTGCATCTAAGAAGGCAGCTACAATTAAAAACTATATTACCATACCATTACCAAGTTTTGTAATTTTTCGAAGAAGTGAAAAATTGATAGTCACGATTCATGTTTATTCAGAATGTGACATATTAAGGCTTACATCCAAAACTTTTTGTCAAAGGTCCCAATTCAACCACTTCACCTTCATTCTTGAGTTAAGAAAAATACACCAAACATCAAATTTAAAAGGGGTATGGATAATTCAGTTGTTAACTGAAGGTATATTGGTGCTCTATGAAAATCAGATGGGATTATAATCTGACTGCCTTTAACTTAACTTTCCAGTGTTAGGTCTTGAGGTACATGGATGACAGTTTGAAAAATGTTGGGCTTAAAGGTGTTATCAAAGAACAGTCAAAACTTTGGAATAAATTTTTCTCCAAATAAATATCCTTTTTGTGGGACATGCACACAAAGATCTGTTTCTTAAATCATGCTTTGTTCTGTCAAAAGGCTGCAATCTGATTTTTAGCCATTCTTTTCGCCAAACAGCTCCGGAAAAGTTTCTCTTGTTCAGCCAGCGCAACTCCATCAGTCGTATAACCTTTGACTTCAAGGACAGCCCGGACATCATTCTCCCGATCCATGGCGTGCGCAACATCCGACGAATTGCCTACGACTTTGACGAGAAGCGGGTTTACTGGATTGACAAGAGCAGTAACGACATCAAGAGGTCTTACGATAATGGAATTGAGGTACGTGTCAATTCAGTTATTTCTGTTTACACCGTTTAATCTGTTTGTTTTGGGGTGGCAGTTTATATTATCAGAACAAGCCATAAAGTGCAATCCAAAATTTGTAATAAGTCTATTTGAATGAAAGCAGAAAGATCAGAGAAACAGAATGGCGAAAGTTCAAAATAAATCGGACAAATAATAAGAATGTTTGAACTATGAGATCACAACATCTATGTGAATCTCAAATTGGCAATTTGTTCAGTGGATTGTGACATAGTCGCAGATAACTCTCCTGTTTGTAGTGTACAAAAATATCACTAATATCTGTATTTCTCCCAAGTGCCTTCACTCTTGGGGCACTTCTTAACAGTGATTATAATTGTACAGGTCCTCTACAAAGGAGAGATCATCTTAAGTCATACATATTGAGAACAAAATTACATTTGAGTCATCCCATTTATTTCCTATGCAGCAACGGACCTTCATAGCCAACCCTGGTGGAGGGGCGCCCTTCGAACCCACGGACATGGCCATTGACCCTTACAGCCGCCTTCTCTTCTGGACCTGCGCCAATCAGAGCACGATCAACGTCACGCGTCTCAATGGCTCCGCAGTGGGCGTGGTCATCAGCGACAAGCTGCAGAAGCCACGCCTCCTTGCCCTCATGCCAGAAAAAGGGTAAGATTAATGAAACTTCTTCAACTGGTATAGATACAGTATTATTCTATGTTGATAATAATAATAATAATATTCGGTTCTTGTATAGTTCATATCACATTATATAACGTCTCTATGCGCTTCTAAAGAGCTTTGGAAATTATTACCCTAGCTTTAGCTCCATCAGCCGTAATCAGCGCACAGTGCATTTCAAGGAATAATCCTACAAGTTACCCATTTACCTGTGGCAAATGTAAATTAATATCTTGGAAAAAGGACATTAGTGCCATGGGAATTCAATGCAGGCAAAACCTGAAAAATATTTTTAAAATTCCCTGTCCTGACTCCAACCTTGTCTTATATATAATTCCCTTTCGACCCTCTTAGATTAATGTTCTGGACCAACCATCGCCTGTTGCCGAAGATCGAGCGTGCTGCCCTCGACGGTGAGGATCACATGGTCATCGTGACGGAGGGCCTGGGCCGGCCGCGCACCCTGACCGCTGACCATCGGAGCGAGAGGATCTACTGGATCAGCCAAGAGCTGGACTATGTCATTAGCACCACAATCACAGGTGAGTTATCAGTTACAATTTCAAATTCAATTTCAAATTCAATTTCAATTTCAATTTTAGTTTCAATATTGATATTAATTTTCATTTGAATTTAAGTTTCAATTTCGAGTCAAGATATGGAGACCGACAGTTGGGCAAGCAGGTCTAGTCAGGTTAACCTTCTCCAAACTTTTCATTTTTCCATTTTCTTTTCTAATTTCCAATTTTTAACCAATGATACCAATTTTCTTTTAAAACACAATTTCATTTTTAATTATAATTTGTGGGAAAGGAGTCTAAACAGTTGGAATATACTGTACTAATTTGAAATTCAATCTTTACTTGAAATTCCAATTGGCTCAAAGACCGGTTCCAGTTCCAATTCCAATTCCAATTCCAATTTTTTTAATTTCCAGGCAGAGTTGTATTTAGACTTACCTACATGTATAATCGGTCTGCCCATCATGGATGGCTACCTCTACTTGAGAATTTCATTGTAATTTCAATTTAGTTTTGATTCCAATTTTAGTTTCAATTCCAATTTCAATTCCAATTTTTAATCTGCAGGGATGTACTGAGACTAACAGTTGAGTAAGCAGTCTAGTTGGTTTGAACATGACTGATGACCTCTACCTAGATGCTGATGTATTTTGTAAATCCATTCCCCATTCCAACTTCCTTTCCAATTTCAATTTTAAAAAATTCCAATTTCATTTTACAGGCAAGGATGTCCTCAGACTAACGGTGGAGCTCGCGAGTCCAGTTGGTTTAACCATCTTGGATGACCACCTCTACTGGGTTGACCGCAAGGCCGAGGCGGTCAAGCAAGCAGACAAGCTGGATGGAAGGAATCCGTACAAGGTCAAAGGTCAGATGGTGAGCTTGACCGATGTCCTGGCAGTGGATGGCAACTTGATAGGTGAGCACTTCTCCGTCCACTTTTTTTTATTTATTTATTTATTTTTTTTTTTTATAGGATATTATCATTAGATACAAAACATAATAATAATAATTATAGTCACATATGTATAGCGCTTAATACTATTAGACCGCGGGCCATGCCTCAAAAATGTGCCTAGAAATCAACTTTCGTGACCCATCTCTTGTATCTACCTTATTTTTTTCTCACTTATAGAGAAAAAATCACTGAAAAAGAATATACAACTCGTCAGTGCTATAAGTTGCACATTAATTAGTTATGCTAATTAAACAAAGTGATGGCGCCCTCTACAGTTCAAAAATGGCAATTGCATGTTATTGTATGGGTTTATTGGTGTATTCATCTACGTACATGAAATAACGTTGACTGTATATATATAAAATATATGTTTGCGGGCATAACGGGGGGGGGGGGGGGGGGGGGGGGGGGGGGGGGGGGGGGTGGATTACCTCATGTTTTTTTTATGGGGGGCAATGGTGGCTTCACCTAATCGTGAGGAAGGGTGTGGGGATGGTGAATTTACCTCATGGAGAGGAAGGTTTTTTATTTGTTATTTTTCATTATTATTATTATTGTTGGGGGGGGGGGGGTGGTGGATTCACGTCATGGGTGTTTTTTTCTTGGGGGGCGGGGGTGGGTGATGTATCCCCCTTTTTTCGTGTTTTTTTTTTTTTACGATGGGGGGTTCCCCTTATTGAAACGAAGGGTAATTGTTGCTTGGTGATTAAAATTAATTATACTTAATTAACGGCTGTGTGTCATTAGTTTGTATTTTTGTGTGTCTAGATGTGAATTTATGTGCAATTACTAGTTATGTGTGTGACACACATGTACATGTGTGTGCAATTCATTCATGGATCGTTGATGTACACACAATTCTCAAAGAGTTAAAATAAAAAAATAAAATAAAAATAGGATCTTCTAGTTGATGCTCCTCACCATCTCGGCAGCAGCCAACACCCCGCAACACATGCACAACATCAACCCCGCTCCCCCTCCCCTCCCCCTCCCCCTCCCACACACGCTCAATTTAGTTGTAGCAATACAGACACACAATCTCCCCCCCCTCCCCACTCGCCATTGTGACTTGCATGCACTGAATCATTCATGCGTTTCTGCAAACACATGCACAATCACATACTGAACACATAATCACACCCTGCCACACCCATTAGACAAATAAAAGAAATCTGCAAAATCAGTTGTCTTTTTTTTCTCATTTATTTAAGATTTCACATGTGGTCTCATAGATCCACGGATGTTTTGGTACATGTAATATATAAGACAAAAAATCTGATAATGAGTTAATGACAACAGTAATAATAATGATATAACTAGCAACATTGGTTATAATAATAATGCCAATAAAAAAGAAAAAATAAGAAGAACAAATAAATAATATAATACATATACTTGTAAAAATAATAACAATCAAGTACTTATTAACAGGGAAGCAGAGAGGGAGAGAAACACAAAAAGTTGTACTTCTAAGTTGTGAAAACCATACAGCAAATTAGCTGTAAATGATAATGGAATACATTTAGCAATCTTAATTCAATATTATGTGTAAAACTCTTCCTTACTAAGATCTGAAAAGTTCATTGTACAATAAATGCTTTCACTCTCTGACAGGCTGCTCGATCTCTGACTCCAAATATTATACATGCATTTTTGTTGGTATACACTGCAATGTGCACATATTCAGGATAGATATTATGCGTTAACGATTTGCCATACTTTTTGCTGTTGAAAAATCGACCTTTCATACCAGCATTCACGTTTTAAATAAAATTGTGAGAATCAATAAATCTGCATGCACCTCACAAGCACAATTAATCATCATGGGAAAACTTCATTACAAAAGAGACTGCTTTTAATTCAGAGAAATGTGATAAGTATGGATTGAAGTACCACAAATGTGTCTTTTGATATTTTTTCTTTCATTTACGTTCAGATATTATATTACCCTTTCCATTTAATTCTTCAAAGTGAAAAAGTAGGCATTACTTTCCAGTTACATTTGTATATTCCCATTCTCATATATTACCAGCAGCATGTATTCGATTCATGCAGGCAGGTTAACACAGAATAGTACACTAATAAGTCTATACACTTAAAGAACTTACTTCAGCCTATTTCAACAACAAAATGGAGCAATAACTAAAACCCTGAGAATTATAGACTTTGCTATCACCACATGTTCTCATGAAATATATTCATGTGTAGAGCTTGACCTCTAAAATACGATATAAGGGCGAGGCTTTGGTGACAATACATTCATTTCCACGGATAAACTGTACAGTCTTGGCATTTACCAATGTACATGTACCAGTACCTATACACACAACAATGTGTGTGTCTTTGAATTTCACGTACACAGAAACATGCAACATCTCTTTCCAGAATTGAGAATTCTAATTGTCATTACAATCACCATTGGCCCTCTCGTTCTTACAAACGCACTTAAAAAATATCTACATTCGTAGATATATATATATGTACTACTAATAACATCTTTGACTGATCCTCTCCTCTACTATCTTGCGACAGAAGCTGGAGTATGATCTCTCGTACATCTGTTGTGCAGTTTCTGTGTGAAGTTTTGAACCGAGTGCCACCTTTGTGTACCTGTAATAACAAGATTTGTGATATCTAACTTCAATCGCTACATGATCCTTACCCCTTAAATCCAACAACAGAGCTTCATCTTGCTTCATCAAAGCAGCCGTTAACAAATTCCCCCCATCTTTTCTTTCACACAAGACATATTTTTCTACTTTTCGTTTACCCGAAGATTGTTCACGAAAGTACTTCGTCCCTTTGCAAATGACACATTGGACTGGTAGCACATGCCGTCTGTCAGACCACTGGGGGGTAGAGGATTGCTGTCCGCACGATACTCCAGATCGTAACATTCTCTTGGGTGCTGGCCCTGCTGGGATATCTCCGTCTTCATTGGGGGGTGCTTCTTGAAGATGTTCCTTGGTTGAGGTCTTCTCAGCATCTATATCGGTTATAAAAAAGGCAGAAAGAAAAGAGGATAGGAGAAGGAAAGAGAAAAAGAGAAAACAAGAGGATATCAGAAACAAACAAAAACAATAAATTAGCAATCAAAATATGACTTTACAGAATGTTCAAAAGAATGAACACTTTACATCAATCAATTTTGGGCAAAACATGTGAAAAAAAAAGTTATTCTGGAACATAAAGTTACACTGTAGGCCTACCAATATTTAAATCTGAATATTATGCAAAAGCAATCAATATTTTAAACTTGAAACATGAATTGCTTCATTCTACGGTGACATGAACAATAGGATTCTACGGTGACATGAACAATAGGATACATTGGGATTTTTGCAAGAACAATAATTTTTTATTTTTTTTTAAATTCATACAAATATTGTCACAATGGAAAAGAAATTAAAACAAAACATGTTTAGATATACATGTAGTATGTAAATTACCTTTCTTCTTCTGGAATCTTGCTATCGCTCGATTGATTGTTGTCACGTTGCAGAAGTGTCGATAACATTCGGCATGATACCCTGCAGTTGACTCAAGTTTCCTAGTTAAAGATAACACAAAAGAAGAAATAATTGATTACTTTATTTATTCTGTGGAAGGCAGTAATAAATTACAAATAAAGACACCTTTCGGAAATAATATCGCTAGTGATATTCGTTTGTTTCGCAATGTATGGTCAACAAGGGATCTAAAAGTCCTTTAGATCCCTTGTTGACCATACATTGCGAGACAAACGAATATCACTAGCGATATTATTTTCGATACTATATCCGCAATGAGTAATATATTTAGCATTAAACTTAAAGACACCTTAAATAAATGAGCTAACAATATAATATTGTAGATCTAGACCTAATTATTGCAGGTATTGCATTTCATGACTTGGCTTTGCCTTGCTCTGGCAAAGTTTGGTGAGACCATACCATCTTTTAAAATTAGATTTAGAGTTTTGACTAGTAAGTAGTAATGCAGCATGACTAGCTGACAAGTCAAAATTAAAACAACCATCTTTTTACCATGCCATATCATATGCCTCATTCATAATGTCTGAAAACTCTGGTCTGGATGAACAAGGCCAGCGCTACTTCAATAATACTATGCAGTATGGCACTATGCATATGGGCCAGGCCAAGCAAATTATGGCAAACTCATTTAACTTAACTTAAGTCTTAGACTAGAGTTAGACAGCCAGGGCCCAAGCCAGTAGATCTATAAATTTGTCTTACTGCCTGGCTACTGCCCATGCCTGGGGCCCCTGCCCTAGTAAATTTCAGTTTCAATGCAATGCAATTATGCAAACCTAGAGATATAGTACAATATTTTACTTAATTAAAATGAGTTAAGTAGTTTTAAAGATCTACAGATCTAGAGAATAGTTGTATCTTACCTGCCAGTTCTTTGTTTATGTTCATGATCATCACCATCAGTGCAGTGCCAGTATCATCACCACCGCCTCTGCATTTGGACGGTCCCACTCCTTCACTTTCTTGTTGTTGCTGCAGGAACTTGGCAGCAACTCTGCTTTCCGAACTTTCTTTTACATTGATCCATTTCGCTGCACATTCTTGAAACTTCTTAAAACTTTTATCACCAAATGGGGTAACCTTTGTGTGAGTGTCGATAACATGCATTGCACAGAAGACGGATAAATCTGCCTCGGAATCTTCCGTAGTACTGGCATCTGACGACATAATTGCCGCCATGATGGCCAGTGTCGTCTGCGATCAGCACAGCGTAAAACGAAGCGCGTGATTGGTCATTAGCCCGTCAGTCCGAAGAACATGCAATGAGAAACGTATTTTGATTGGCCAACCATATCGGAAGAAAAATGCAAAATTGTTTTTTTTTCTTCATATTTTGAGAAAATGTGCAACTTTTATCCTTGACGAGTTTCAGATATGATTTCAATACTATTTTTACACATACTGACAAAAAAGAAGGTAGATACAGAGGGTGGGTCACGAAACGAAAGAAAAAAGCACCATGGCCCACGGCCTATATGTTTCAAGGAGCTTAAAGAGAAGGTTGAGTTCTGGGAAGAGGTGAAAAAATAATTTGTGAGCATTATCATTCTTATTATGCAAGTGTGGAAGAACATCAGATAAGACATGTTCCCTGAAAAGCATGGCTCTTCAAATGCCTTCATATTCTAAATATGTCATGTAACATCGTGGCGTAAAAATCCTACCCTGGATTTTTACGCCACGTGTTCGTGTAGTCCCATATACATCTTTCTGTGTACAGTGTTTGTAACTATACCAAGACTTGGCCAAATTTCTTATCATTTGATGATTCCAGAACCTTGCAATACACACAAATTCTTATATGCTAGATGATCAACCTTTTCTGGTCGATTCCACACTGTTTCTTTCACAGTGCAATCGCATGACCATAACTCAACTTCATCTTTAACATTGCACTAATCATTATTGCCCAGTGGTTGAATTCAGTTGCTAATCCGCATGTGATAGTGCACATGCTCCGCTCCCTTGGGAGTATTCTAGCCAGGCACCATTTTACAAGCGCACACATGCCAAATACATGTATGTGAAATAGACCAATGCAGGCTTATTGTGCTAATAGAAAGCAGATAGATGAAGGAGTAACACTGTAGATTACATTGGAAATACCATTAATGGGTGTACAAGTATCGCTCACAGCAAACCTTTGATCCCATCAAGAAATACTCCCTCGTTGACCCATAGAATTAATTTATTTTGTGATAATTGTTACTCTTCAGAGGACCACCCGTGTCTGATTGACAATGGCGGATGCTCCCATCTGTGTATCATCTCGCCCGACAACAGCGCCCGATGCTCCTGCCCGCTTAACCTGGTCTTGGACGTGGATGACGAGACGTGCGTTGAACCCCCGACCTGCGCACCCGATGCGTTCAGCTGTGTCTCGGGGAACATTGCTTGTATTCCCATTGGCTGGCGGTGTGACGGGTTCTCCGAGTGCGAGGATGCTAGCGACGAAATGGAATGTGGTATGTACATTTAACTATAACTTTTTCACATAGCTTGGAAGCAATGGGGCAACAATGAAATGGACATTGAGACACGAGTTTCCATAACTTTCTATTTTCAGCTATTTCAGTGAGCTGCTCAAATGACTTTCCGGTCCACTGTTTGATGTTATCTGTCCATGTCCTAGTTTGGTCTGCCCCTCTTTCTTCTCCCATCAGTTCCTTCTTTAATAGATTACATATATTTGTACTGCTAGAATATATCACCAACGTAATTATACCTGTATTTAAAGACGATACAAGGGAGACTAGAAAAGTTTGATATATACAGGTAAAGGTACATGTAGTCTGTGTTCTGTTTTTGATGCAGGTTCAATATCTTATAAAGTTGGGTTAAGAATCAAGTTATAGTATAGTCTGTTTTCTGAGATATTTGTTTCTTTTGTGTCTGTTTTTGTGCGTGCTTTTCAGAAATGCACAGGGCAAACAAGTTGAAAAATGGGCAAAAAATACCCACATGTTTAGCTTTTTTGTAAGAAAACAATTTTAGTTGATAGCTGCCATTATTGTCCATCATTTTGATGTCACAAACACGGTTGGTGGATATTTCATAGTCGCAACCAATTTTTTTAAATTTTTTTTTTAATGTATATTACCTTTATGTGATATTTAACATAAAACCCTGTAAGAAAATCTTGGAAAATTCTGAATTTAACAACTATAAGCCCTTATCTTATCCTCCCACTACAGTTGAGTGTGACGCCGGAGAATTCAAATGCAGCGGTATCCAGTGCATCGACCGCTCCCTGCGGTGCGACGGAAAGCCGGACTGTCTCTACGGGAACAGCGACGAAGAGCAATGTCCGCAGTGTTCCAACCCCCAGTCATTCCCGTGCCTGAACGGTCAGTGCGTGGTCAAGCAAGGAGCGGAGTGCGATGGGATCATCGACTGTGTGGACAGTAGCGATGAGCATGCTGGCTGTTGTAAGTCCCCTTTTTCTTCTCTTTGAATATACAATAAAAACCTGTCTATTATGGCCACTCAAAGGAAACAGAAAAAGTGGCCACTATAGCCAGGTGGCCCTTATACAGACGGTATCAGTATCTGCTTATTGTTTTTAACACAGTCAAACCTTCTTTAGTGACCACCTGTATAGGAAGACCACCTGTCTGTAAAAACCACATTTTTCATTTCCCTTTGAATAAGGTTTCTCATCAAAACCTGTACTAAAGGAACCTGTACGTTAAGACCTGCTCGTAAAGACTACTTCTCATGTTTTCCTTGAGAAGTCTCTACACACAGGGATCACTGTATTAGAAGTATGAAATTAAGTGCCTTGTGATTATCTGGAATACCACTTTGTTGACAGGAGCGATAACAATGCTGGCTGTTGCAAGTAGGGCCTAGTTGCAAGACTCTCCCCTGTAGAAAATACAAAAAGAATCTGATATCCAAATTTAAATATTCTCTTTTGATCCTCAATCACTACAGACCTGTCTCCCAGCGACATACCGCCCGGCTACACCCCTCACGGCGGCAGACGGATGAACACCGCCCTCGTGGGCACGCTCGTTGCAGCTTTCTCCCTGGCCATCATGGTCATAGGGACATTCTTCCTGTGCAGACGACGGTGCATCCAGCAGTCTGGAAGCCCGGAGGATTACGGCACCCCGGCGGACCAGAACTTCTCCACCGTTCTCATGCTCAACCAACTTGGCAAAGAACACATCACCCACAAATACCTCAGTAAGTTTTCTCAATTCTTAGTCATTGGACAATAAAACCATACTTGAATAAAACAAATTAATCCCCCAAAATACTATTGGTAAATGTGACATAAGATACATGTATGTTTCAACTGATAAAGATTTGAAGTTCAGTTAGTGTTCAAATTTGAAATTGGTTGCATTTGGGGAGACATTAATTTTCATGAACAAGGTAAAATGCGACTTGCTAGAGGCACCAACGATGAAAATAACCGACAAGTATCTGTGTATACATTTCTAATGGTGATTAGAATTATTTGAAGTTTGAAACTGCAAGTGCCTACAATTGTACATGTGCTTGGAAGAGAATGTTAGAATTTCGTAAAAACTGTTGATATCAGTAAATTGATCATCTTTTTATTAACCATTGGAAATAATTTGTATAGACCCTTTTTGTAATGTAACCAAATTGATACCTACGTGCCTCGATATAAAATATTTGATTCACCTGTTATGAATATTTGAATTTCAATAGTCAGATTGCAAATTGCATATTAATGTGTTGCTAGGTGAGGCAAGCCAACATCTTTGTCCTATCTAGCAACAATTAATGTATGTAATTCACATTCTGACTATTGAAATATGATTATCCTTAACCCTACGTTAACTGGGGGGGGGGGTCAATTTGACCCCCCCCCCTGTAGAAATTTCGCGACTACTCCGAAACCGCGGCAGATATAAAATTTTCCTTTCATGACTTTTTTCTTTCGAGTCTTACGCATCTTTTAAAACAACTTTTTCGAAAATCGGACGTATAGTTACGGAGTCACGTGACATTTTGTTGTTGCATGTCAGCCCGAAAATCGCTCATTTTTGTGATTTGTGTACAAAACATATGGAAATCTCATTTTTCCTAAAAAGAGATAAAACATTGGTTATTTAGTCTTGTTTAAAGTTTGGGTGTTTATTTTGGGGTCAAAATAGTTGAATTGTAGTTATAAATGAAATAAAACAACAAAAACAATAAAATACATAAGTTGAAAAAACAATGAAATACATAAGAAATTATCAAAACAAGAGATAACATAAGGAATAACCTGGCTCTTCTAATTTTTTGTGTTGTATTATTATTCCAAACGGTCTAACAAATATATGTAGTGAAAAAGAATGCTTAAATATCAATAATGTATGATTAATGGGCAAAAATGTGAATTTTATGACCTTATTTGCATAAATTACCATAAATATGTAAATGAGTGAATTTTTCAAAAAATTGAAATTATCATAGTATTCTATACACTTCACTTGACATGTATGCAAATTTTCGCGGCGATCGGCCGTCAAACGGCCGAGATCTTAAGGGGGGGTCAAATTGACCCCCCCCCCCCCCAGTAAAAGCCTGGTCTGAAATAGCCCAGTTAAAATAGGGTTAACAGGTAAATGAAATCATTTGTAACCAGGCACTTATTAACAAAGATTTGTGCAATAAATTGGATTACATTATGAAAATGGCCTATTTGGTATAAACACACATATACTGTAAAAGTAGAAATTTTCGTGCATGTCAAGCTAAGATCGGCAAGGGCGAAATTTAGAATTCGCGAAAATATAAGCATGACTTCTTATGCGTGTTTTGAATTGGCTGAATTGCTTGCAAAGCGAATTTAAGAACCCGCGAATATGTTTTGGGGTCGCTCAGCTCAAAGTTAATTACACAAAAATAACAGCGTTTACAGTGAATGTATTCCAGCCAGAGATATCTCATGATGCTTTTCTTCCCATCACCCTCATAGATTCCGGAAGACCGCATCCCAAGACCACCAACCTCAACTCCTGCTCCTCCAAGGTCTCCCCTAAGAGCGGGAGCGGAGGAGAGAGCAGCACCGGCTTCTACGAGCGCAACCTCCCCACGGGCGCGTCCTCCTGCTCCTCAGAGATGTTCAGCTCGACGGGGACCAGTAATTACCCCAAGGAGACCCTCAACCCCCCTCCCAGCCCCGCCACCGAGAGGTCACAGTGCACCACCGAGATATACTATGCCCCCGTCCAAAACCCATCACTCAGTAATTTCAGACCTTATAGGTAAGTGAATAATTAATAATAGTTAGATCAGTTTTTAAGTGCTTGCACAGTGCAAAAATAAAGAAAAGAAGATAATTAGATTAATTTATATAGCGCAGCTACTCTAAAACATTTACTGCGCTGTGATGAAGAAAAAAACTCCTAACAGTGTCAATTTACGGAAACAACCCAAAAGCTGTTATGGGTTACTGCCTCCCCCCCCCCCCTATCTTACGAATCTTAAAAGGAAAAGAACAAATCTGAGATTTGTTACACAGTGATTTTAGCAGTAACAGATGTTTGTAAATTCTAGAATTCTATTACGTAACTTTTGCACATCTGGGCCAGTGGCACTGTTGGAATTTGCAAAGTTTTGTCTTTGGGATAATTTCAGTTTTATTATCCTTTGAATGCCTTCTTTCCCCTTCCCTTGGTACTGACAACCAAAAGAAAGAAGTAGAGAAGAAGAAAAAGTTGGGGGGAGAAACGTCACAGCTGCAACGTAACTTGAGAAGGTTTGTTTTTATAGAATACTTATGTTCAAGGTAAACTATCAAATTTCATCTTGGTCCCATGTCTACTTCATATGGAAACATGATTGTGTTTTTCTCTGTTAAGCAGTTTCTTTTAACATTCATGTTTTGTTTTTGTCTCCCTTTGATCCCTCGCCTCCAGACATCACAAATTACGCTATATTCCGCCTCCGCCGACGCCGTGCTCGACGGACATCTGCGAAGACAGTGAGCCGTACTCCATGGGAGGGGCCGCCGCCGCACCGCCAGTGCCGCACCATAAATACACAAACATTTCAAAATCGCGGCGGAAAAAAGGCAAGTACAGCCACTCGAACATTGCCAATCCGGAGGCAGTGAACTATGATTCAGAACCTTACCCGCCTCCGCCAACGCCGCACAGTCAGTACTTAAGCGACAATTTCGACAGCTGTCCGCCGTCGCCGTCGACGGAGCGCAGCTTCTTCAACCCGTACCCGCCTCCCCCGTCACCCGCCACCGACTCGACGTAGCGAAGAAACGAAGAGCACAAAAGAGACGTTATATTTTCTTCTTCACGCATGCACTCGAGAGATTTGAATAAACGGGTTAACTCATTCGAGCGTGGACCAACCATATCGCACCTGGAAAGTCTTTGAACTATGACCTACTTCATTCAAGAAAAGCAGGTGAACTTCGACCTCCTTTCTTGCTAAAGGTCAAAGAACTTTGGTAGGCGATGGAAGGATATGAGATTTTATTGCACGGACTTGGAGACAGGTCACGTACATGACCGTTGTTTATATTGAAATTTATATCAGGGATATACATATATGATATATATATTTTTTTGTTTTATATATTGTTCGCTGTTGGAAAATGACCGTTTTCGGGAGCAGATAACCAGCAGAAAACGAAGCATCTCATCTCATGGCGTATTTATTTCTTATATGTGTTATACTAATTTGTGATGCACCGATGTCCACTGGAAACGACCCTTGACACAAGAAGCAAACGTGTGAAGCGCAAGGATACAAAAATTATTGTGGAACCGATTTGTCTGTCATTTGGAACTGCACATCTCGTATCTGTACTCTCCACTAAACTTTAGAGCAACCGTTTTTCTCCTTTTGTCAGCGTTTCATTTAACGATTCATTTAAAGTATTGGTTTACGGCTTGCCCGATTTAAAAGGAGATGTTGCGATGCTCTTTGAAATTATGCAAATATTTGTGTTGACAGTGTAGCTTACCTGAGTAACATGCCCACCTCTAATGAAAAGTAAAGGAGAAGAGTTGTCCATGTTCAAATTGTACTTTTAATTTCCTCCAGTACTTTAAAACCACCTTCATCTTGCTACTGTTGGTGCACACTTTGAGGAGTAATCAAGCCGTTTCCTTTAAGATACGGCAAGTTCTTTTGGTACTATGTTCTTTTGAACAATCTCTTTAAATTCCTTGACAACAACAAACCATAACCAAATTGTGAATCTTATTTTCAAACAAAATAATGACTATTAAAGTTATGATTTGTTAGGCAATGAAAGCACTGTGAAAACTAGTATAATATGCTGTCATTAGGAATTGAAGATTTGATGGTGCTGAAGTTTTCTGTTATTGTTTTTTATAAGAAAAGGCATTATGTCATTGAGAATTCAATAGTATGTAATCAAAAGAATGCCCCCTCATCACCCCCTCCCCTCTATAATATTCTGCCCTAGCATTGCCTACCGGTAGTACAAATAAATGATACTCTGAGGTTTTTGAAATATAAATCAAACATGAACATTTTGGTTAATTTATCATTTTAAATGCTAAAATGACAAACTCACTTTTAGAGCTACATGTTGGGGTCTAGCGCCATCTTGTGTTCAGAAATCAAGCATTTTATGTTGCTGATCAAGTTGTTGTTAATGAAAAGAACTTGTTAAAAACCATTCTGATTCTCCTCCCATGGTTTTCTATCAAGGTATTAGAACAAATATGTAACACTAATAACTTACCTAACTAGTCTAATTTTATTAGTAACTTGTTGCTTTATGGTTATATGCTTCCTTTTGTTCCAATTTTTTCTATATATTTGCAGAATAGCCAATTATTTTGCTTCTTTTGCCATTTTGTTTATTTTCAGTCTTCTTAGACGGTGAAAGAATTTTGTATTCTTCCCGTTAGCAATCTCCTTCTCTCCATTTTCATTTTGATAATTTGAGATTTAATGTATTTGTTTCTGTCTGTTTCTGTCTCTTCTCTTTCTCTGTCACTTTTACTACCTGTCTATTTATGTGTCAGTTTGCAGTCTTTCTCTCACTTTCCACTCCAGCCTTTCTCCATCTCTCTCTCTCTCTCTCTCTCTCTCCCTTCTCTCTCTATCTCTCTATCTCTATCTCTCTCCCCTCTCCCCCTTCCCCTCTCTCTCTCTATCTCTCTCACTGCCTCGGTCTCCCTCAACAAATCTGACTCTTTCCATCAGTATCTCTATCCTTTTTTTCTCTTTCTCTTACATTTTAATTAATTATTACCCACTCATTCTATAGGTTTCTTCCATTCACAAACCTTTTTGCATGTACTATGTATTCCTATAATAATTTGACAATCAGTCTGTTGTATGTATGTACTCTGAGAAAACAAGTTGCTCCCCTGAAATTCTGTATCACATCATCCAACCTTCTAGTACTTATTATAAAGATTCTTTTAGAGTCTTGACTTTTGAACAGTACATTTTAAAATGCCCTTTTGGTGATCTGTATAATGATATCTACATATCTGCTTTTATTTATTGTTTTGGGACCCATATGAAAGTAAATAATTGCAAGATAACAGAATGTGAAGAAGAAGCATGAAGTAGATAGACTATGAAAATAGGTCAATCTCATTAAGTTATTGAGGGAAGAAGCATGTATAAGGAATCTTTTGAAAGAGGCAAGACAGATGAATTCTTTGATGGAAAGCGAAAGATTGTTCCCTGTTTTCGAAGCAGCCACATAATAAAAACAAAGGCAGTATAAGTCCATTTGTAATTAAGAGTACTAGGGGGTAATCCTTACATAGTTAACCCCAAGTACTGATATGGAGTACTGAAGTGTTAGTGGTATACCTACAGTACAGTACAGATCATTTTTTCCTTGATTTGTCCCTCATATTTGTCTACCTCAGAATTTGCCGTTTTGTGATCATGATCGCCGTTGCAAACTCTATTTAAATTTGTTAATCTCCTTCAAGTATGAAGAATACACTTTTCGTTGGATGGATGGATTATTATTTATGTTTTAATTGAAACATTGCGGGTTATTCAGCATCGTTTATTTGATAAAAGATGTGAAAAACTGAAACGATCTGTTACAGATCACTTTAATTGAAAATATGTATCTCACATTTCAAGATCCTCTTTATCTTGTGTGTACTATTGATCTCTAATTTAAGGATCCTCTTTATCCTCAATGTGATAATTACGTGGAAGTTGAAGCGATTAGTGATTGTGTTTGTATTCATAAGATCAAGGAAAATTTTGCTGCATTGTATACACCTTTTTAAAAAGCAATCTTCAAAAATAGGATTTTAAATAGAAGAATTCCTTTCAGCGAAATACAGCTTAATGAATAAACATAATTAAATTAATATATAATTGAATAACGTGTATGGTTAGGATAATAGGACTTTTTAAACAGAATAAAATCTGGCTTATTTTATTGAGAAATTATAACACTAAGCAGCTACTTTTTTATCATGTAAAACAAAAAATCTAATCATGTAAAGAAAAATATATATTTTGATCGAAGATTTTAAATCTTTTCTTGTTAATGTTTTTGGTTCTGCTTTTCTACCATTTTCCAAAAAGTTTAAATGCTGTTACAGTTATTTGTAGTTTTTATACCACTTAATATGACAAAAAGAATTATGCACTGAAATTTGTACTTTAATAATTATTCATCTTTTAATCATGTATATTAGAATCCCAGTGAAAATTGTGAAACAAGACCCGGAATTAATGTGTAAAATTCTTCTTTATATTTTTGTATAATGACCAATGCTGTATAAGGACCTGTGGTCTTTAAAATCATAATTTTATCTCGCTTTTTACAATTATCTTCTCCACTTTATAATGTCTTTTACAGAGAAAATATGCTTCATTGTACACATGTATTCATGCCCGTTTTTCATTACTTTGTGTATTCATAATTTTGCAATGTGTATGGCGCCCTCTGTATTCGGTTCATATTTAGTTTTAACAGTACCGTTCATTTTATACTGAGGAAAGTGTCAACTGCCAAACTGTTAATTTTTATGTGTTTTTTTCATGAATTATGTTGTAAGATATTGAGAAAAGAGATGAATCGTACACCATAATCTAAGTATTATTAATATTATTCTCTTGTACATTGTTTATGTACGTAATATGTGATGATAACAAGAGTTTATACATTTTGTATGAAAGGAAATGAAAAAAGCAGTTTTAGGTAGCATTTTGTTGTGGTCTTTGCGAGAAGGTGATAAGATGGTGATGATGATTGATAATGATGGTATTATGATGGTGTTGGTGATGATGATGATGATGGTGATGATGATGATGATGAAGATGATGACGACGATGGTGATGTTGGTGACAGTGATGATGATGATATAGGTGATGATAATGATGTTGGTGATAATGGTGATTTTGATGATGATGACAATGATTATGTTGATGATAATGATGATGATGATGTTGGTGGTGATGATGATGATGTTGGTGGTGATGATGATGATGATGGTGGTGGTGATGATGATGATGTTGGTGGTGATGATGAAAATGATGATGATGTTGGCGATGATGATGTTGGTGATGATGATAATGATGACGATGTTAGCGATGATGATGATGATATCAAATTATGACGATGATGGTGATAATGATGATTAATGATGATAATTATGTTGGTGGTGATGATGATGATTGTGATTGTGATGATGATGATGGTGATGTCGGTGGTGGTGATGATGATGATGTCGGTAATGATGATGATTAGTGATAATGGTGAGGATGTTGGTAATGATGACGATGGTGGTGATATTAAATGATGACGATGATGATGATGATAATGATGATGTTGGTGGTGATGATGATGTTGGTGATGAATGTGATGGTAATGAGGATGATGATCGTCATATTTCATTTATTCATTTATTTTTGTATAGTTTTATTTTTTACAGAGTAGCATTGTCGGTTACAAAACTGCTTTCCACGTTGACCCTGTTGGCCTAGACGATATCATTAACAAAATATTTATAGACTAATTGATTGTCTATATACTGATTAAGTACCCCCCCCCCAAAAAAAAACAAAAAAAAATAAATAAATAAATAAATAAATGAAATAAAAAATAAAAATAAATAAATAAATAAATAAATAAATAAATAAAATAAATAAATAAAATAAATAAATAAATAAATAAATAAATAAATAAATAAATAAATAAATAAATAAAATAGATAAATAACTAAGAAACAGTATAAACTATCAATAATGAAGGCGACTTCAACGACTGAAGTTGAAAATAACAAAGACACCAGATACCAATAAACCAAAACTAAACGACAGACAAATATACCAACTAAAAGAATCTTAAAGGCCCACTGCACTACTTGTAGCTACTTGCGCCCTCTATATAACAAACCATGCCTAATCGGTGACCATTGGTCCCCCATGGTCCTCTTTTTCTTATGTTAACTGAGAGCTGAGTTGATGAGATAACCACCTGTTCAGTGACCTTGCAGGGCAGTCTAATCCCTCCTGTAAGTTATGGCAGATACGCTTTAAAACTAAAGCTAGCCATACTAATTAAACATCATTAAGGAAATAATAGTGATTGGAGGGGGAAAATGATTAGATTACAAAAGTAGCAACATTGGTGAAAATTTGGACATAATATTATCTAGGACAGTAAACATGGCAACTACATATGAGTTCGCGGATGTGCATCCAGTATCATTCTCGCCACTTTATTATCTAGTTTTGATAGGCTATGGTTCAATAGTTCAAATTTATTTCCACTTTATCATATTACATAAATTATACATGTGTATAATAAAACATAAGCAAAACAAAGCAGTGCATTACCAAAATCGGAGCAATAATAATGTTGCAATTATTAAATGATGTACATTACTTCTTAATTGAACATAATTTACATTGCACCATTAGAAAAGAATTGTAGAAAATATAATAATTCTTAATTGCATCATAATTTGAGAAAAAGTGGAGGAACCTATAAAAGAAGCAGAGCTTGTGAAGCTATAGGTCCCCTTTTAGGCAAAAAAACAAAAACAAAGTTATATTCTAGAATGAAAAAAAGGGGAAACAAGGAGTTTAGTGCAAGGACAAAGAGAAAAAAAGGGGAAAGAATAGGATAGACAAGTAAGAAGGAAAAGGTGTAAGAACAGAAAGGAGCAGGGAGAAGAGAGATAGAGAGAGAGAGAGAGAGAGAGAGCGAGCTCGGGGAGAAAAGGAAGAGAATAGGATTTACAAGGAAGAAGAAGGAAGAAATGAAAGAACAGAAAGGAGGAGGGGAGAGAAAGAAAGAGAGAGCGCAGCATCCTAAGTTCATAAGAGTTCAAGCAGGTTTTCATGAAGAGGTATTTAAACCATGCAACATCGTAGGGGAGTGTCGTGGTCTCGTGGATCATCGGACTGTGGACCACACGGTTCGCGGTTCGAGTCCCGCCACAGCACTAATGATCTTTGAAAAACATTTTATAATACATTCGCCACTTTTCACCCTGGTGTTAAAGGCCCACTGCACTGCTTGTAGCTACTTCCGCCCTCTATATAACAAACAATGCCTAATCGGTGACCATTGGTCCCCCATGATCCTCTTTTTCTTATGTTAACTGAGAGCTGAGTTGATGAGATAACCACCTGTCAGGTGACCTTGCAGGGCGCTCTAATCCATCCTGTAAACTATGGCAGATAAGCTTTAATACAAATTGGTCTACCCGTTGGGAAGAAATTTCTAGAATGCCAGAGCGCTTTATCAGGGGAGCTCGGCTAATGCTGGGGTAATAATAGTACAACGTGTACAAACAATAGTATCAAGCGATTAATAAATAATAACAATAACAATAAAATATATATATATATTTATAATACTAATAGTAATAATAATAATAATAACAATAATAACAACACTAATAATAATCATAATAATAATAATAATAATGATAATAATAATAATAATAATAATAATAATAATAATAATAACAATAATAA